CTGGTCTTCCTGAATAGAATGTGGAACATGATCGCAATTACTTCCCTGTCTGGCTTCAGTGCTTTGACTACTATATTGTCAGGTCCCACTGATTTCATACTCTTGATTTGTCTGACGACCAGCTGTCCTGATTTCTTCGATCGTTGATAGAGTGACATCTATAGGAGTGTCTGTGTGTGCTGTTTCCATATCCAATGGATTCAAAGGAGCTAATCTAGTCAACAGTTCCTCGAAGTTTGCCACCCATCTGCTCCTCTGTGCTTGAATTTCAGTGATTGTCTTTCCTTTTTTGTCCTTGACCGATCTCTCTCGTTTACTATATTTCCCTCCTACTTTATTCATTTAGTCATATAGTGGTTTCGCATTCCATTCTCTTATAGCTTTTCCCGCTGTCGTTGCCAGTTCTTTCACATAATCCCACTTGTCGGCTCTAATGCTCTTCTTCATTCGCTTTTTTTGCTTCCGTGTATTCAGCTTGTGCCTCAACTTCCTCTGTTCTTGTTAGGCTGTTGTTGATTGCTGTCTTCTTGTCCTTCCTTTCTTGACTCTAGTTCATGGTTTCGATAGAGATCCACTCCTTATGATGATGTTTGTTGCGACCCAGACCCTCCTGATACGTTGAAGTTAGTGCTTCTTTGATCCTTTTCTAATTGTTTTCCATAGTAGTTTCAACTTTCAGTAGATTGTGTAAGGCTTGGGATGTGTTGTTGAGAGTTATCTCGAGTTGGTAGAGCTTGTCAGTATATCGAAGAAAGGCAGTATTGAAGATTTGTAATGCTGTTTATTCAATTGTCCAATGCTTCTTTGGATTCAGTTTCATCTTTTCCACAACCACCAGATAGTAGTGATCTGAAGCAATGTAAGCTCCTCTCCTGGTTTTCACGCTTTCCATTGACTTTGTGAATGTTTTACCGACACAAATATGATCTATCTGGTTCTCTGTGGTGTGGTCCGGTGAGACTCGTGTAGCTTTGTATATGAGTTTGTATGAGAATATTGTGCAACCTATAACCAGTATGTTGAATGCACATAGATTTTCAAATCTCCCCCATTTTCATTTCTCTCTCCCAGTCCATGTAGTCCAATTATATCTTCATATCCTGCGTTGTCCACTCCGAATTTAGCGTTTAGATTTCCCATCAGGATGGTGAAGTCCTTTCTTGGGCACTTCGCGATGATCGATTACAGCCTTATATTTATGATCATCATTGCTATCATTGGTGGGTGCATAACATTAGATAACTTTCATTGTGATCCCCTCATTCTTTGTTTTGAATGATGCTTTGGTGATACTGGATCCATGAGATTCCTATCCCATAAGTGCTTCCTCTTTATGACAGGAGTACAACAACATCTCTTCCAAACTTATCCTTTTCTGTCCAATTTGGATCCAATGGGTTTCACTAAATTTGATCACCGTCAAGTTTTACCTCCTAAATTTCGCAGTTATTTGGTTAGTCTTCTCGGTCTCCTACATTGTCCGAATCTTCCATGTACCTATATTAATTATTGGTCTGGTTGTAAAAATGGCGTCAGCCTCGTGACTTCAACATGCAGGTCAGAGTTTAAATGCTTTAAATTGTTTAGTTTGGTTAGCGTTTCTTAGCAAGATTGTTTTCTATGTGATGGGGTTGTTAACACGATGTCTCAGCCTCCTCCTTTACCCGGTCTTGGGACTAGAAGTAACCATAGAAATGCTATAGGGGAGTATAATCTCATTTGACGTTAAAATGGATTGTATTGAGTAGTCTATGCGATAACTGCAAATAATGGTAGACGGTTATTGGTAGCACTTCTTAGAATCGATTGCGATATTAAACGTATAGTCATTATTTATCTTCATCTATTTCATGAGTTTTTTAAATATATTCTCATACCTTTTCTATATCAGACTAATTTGTACTTTCCGATTCATGTTCTCGACATGGAACTTTTTAAAATAATTAAAACTATCATTACTTGGATAGTTTGTTTTCCATTTTATAAATTTCCTGTTAATATGGTGATATGAAATGAGCCAACTTCAGATGATTCATATCTCTATCTTCGGTCTAATTGACTGACTTAAACTTACTGTAATTTCTTACCACGATGCTAATATTGCTAACGATATTAGTGTTTCTCATGACTGCAAGATAAATTGATCCTAATTACTTGTCCAAATGAAAAAAGAATAATATGGACCGATTTAAAAAAAATGAAATACTGTGGATAAAGATTACTTTATGTACTGACCATTGACTCCAACACTCAGTCGCAACTGGTCAAGTGGGTATCAGAATGTTCAGTGATGTATATATCTTCTGTTAATATGAAAGACACATTGATTACCTCAGTGAATGTGTTTTATTAGTGCAAACCAGTTGAACAAGCCAAAATTAAGTATATTTGATTTATTTATTTAAGCTATCAGTTACACTTCGTAAGTAAACATTTAACCCAAATGACTTCAGTACTTCATGTCAGGTATCTATCATAGAAAATGGATGATTGGTTGCGCAAGATTATGGATCGATTGAATTTAAACATTAACACTGTTGGGTGCCTGCTCAGTGGTCTGGACGTTAAGCGTTAGCGCGCGAGACCGAAGTTCCTGAGTTCGAGTCCCTCGTGCGGGATCGTGGGTGCGCACTGCTGAGTAGTCCTATACTAAGGAGAAACATCTGTCCAGTTCTTCCTGGTTTTCATCTTTAGGTTTGTAAAAGGAAATTAATCAGTTTTCCTAGCAAATATATGGACTTATCTACATAAATCTTGTTTGATACTTGATATTGGTGAAATTTGTTTTAGTAAATCAATAATCATGAACTCAATGACTATTCAGAATGTGACATCTATCTGCTTGCGTATTTCGGCATATCTTTCAGACCACTGACCATATAATTTATTTGTTAAGTGATGTTGATGTGTTTGAAGCCTCTAAGAATGCATCAGAAACTGTAAAACTGTCAAAAACACTCCATCTAAGCAAAGTTCAATGAAGACTTACCAGACAATTAAAAAAAAGGTAGTTTATACTTCATAACTCGATTGGTCAATTACGGATTTTATTATTAATCTAAGCATGGTTGCAAAAGCATCCAGGATATTAACGTCACACATAAAACGATAAATATCCGGATTTTCTGTATCTTGAGCAAAGGTGTGCAGGGAAATAAAGACAGGTAGGAAAGTTAGTGGAAATAGGCACTAACAGATAAATTTTCAGACTTACAAAAGAAACATGTATTTAAAATTTAGGAATTAGTGAAGAATGGGCTGATGATTTACTTTCTGTCCGACACACTGAAACAATGGGCATAATAATTTGAGAAACAGTTTAATTGGTCTCTAGTTACGTACTGTTATCGGACAACCTAAGTTGAATTATTATTTAAGCTGTTCAACTCCGAATGAAGTTCCGGAAGCCACGGTTAATCTAAGGAAAGTTAGGGCAGTAAACCCTGATGTCTTAACCTCCGAGGTGTCTAGGAATGATGGTCTAATCTTAGTAGTTGTCTTGACTGAAATATTAAATGGAATCTGGAAGTTAGACTTAATCAAATTTGAATGATCTCAGTTGCTGTCGGTTCTGGTTTATAAAGCGAGACCAAAATCCTATTGTAACAACCGAAGAGGAGTCGGGTTGACTAACATAATGTATAAAAACACTAGCTTTAATAATAACTCAAGGCTTAATTAGTGTTATTGAAGAGTGAATCAGGGAAAACCAGATACTCGCACTTCACCAGGTTCTGAAACGTAGACACACCTACTGATGGTCAACCATGGTTTTGGTTGTTTTCGACTCCGTAGATCGACAGGTTTTAAGGCGGTGTCTATCACTGAAGGGTTTACTAAAGAACCATATCAATTCTGTATAAGCTCTCTAATGGAATACTGTTGGTCGAATTAGAGATTATTGTAAACTGTCATCAGATTTTAGGACTTCAAACGGTGTTCGTTAGGGATGTATGCCTTCTCTAATCTTATTTACTTCGTCATAGATAAACTTTTGGAAATAAGGTTTCTGTGAATTTACGTTTCAGGAATTGACCTTCTGACATGAAATCAGCTTGTTCATTTACAATTTGTAAACATTGACGAAATTTAGTTTTTTGCTCGTCTTGAGCAGCAATATAAACATGCTCGAGATGTGGTTCTCTTCCTCCAGATGCCAAGTGCTGCTTTAGGACTGGTCTGATTTAACGCCTAAATTAATGATTAGGGATGGAGCAATTCAGCACATGGATCCCTTCACATATCTCGGAAGTCTCGCCAGCCTTAGTGAGTTAGTATCTAACCAAATCTTGAACTGTGGAATTAGTCTATCAAATCACTGGCTTTTGGACGGCGCTGTGTTGTTCAGTTCAGACCAGCTGGTTAGGGTCCATATGATTGTTGTAATTAGTGGTCAGAGACTGTGCTCGACATGACCCGGAACTGTCCAAAATGCGAGAAATGTCAAACTATCAATAATACATTTACAATTCCAACCATGGTATCTCACTGTGGTAGTGTAATGTGGCTATTTCAGTTTATGCGCATAATTCGCAGATTCAGCGTTGAATATGACCGACCAACTTTAAATATATATATATATATATATATATATATGGGACGGAAACCTGGAGAACTACGAAAGCCATCATCCCGAAGATACAAGTGTTTATTAACGGTTGTCTACGCAAGATACTTTGGATCCGTTGGCCAGACACTATCAGTAACATTCTACTGTGGGAGAGAACAAACCAGATTCCATCCAGTGGAGAAAGAAATCAGGAAGAAGTACTGGAAGTGGATAGGACACACATTGAGGAAATCACTCAACTGCGTCACAAGACAAGCCCTCACATGGAGTCCTGAAGACCAAAGGAAAAGAGAAAGACCAAATAACACATTACGTCGAGAAATAGAGACAGATATGAGAAGAATGAACAAAAGTTGGATAGAACTAGAAAGGAAGGTTGAGGATAGAGTGGGTTGAAGAATGCTGCTCGGCGGCCTATGCTCCATTGGGAGTAACAGGCGTAAGTAAGTAATATATTATTAACATTTTAATTATTATTAAATTTACACAATTAACTCCACCTGGAGCACTTCTGGGTCTATTGCCGGTCACAAGCTCGGATAAAGGAAGAGGGTTAAGAATGTAGGGTTAAACAACCCATCCCCATAGAAAACTAACTCGCTAAAAAAATAACACGAACCCCCCCCAAATCATTCAAAATAAAGTAAGTTCACACAATTGTAAGTACTAACATATTATTAATTTCATAAATAATACTAGTACTATTAATTATAATGATAACAATACTATTAAGAAAGACATAATCTGTTCAATCGACAAAGATATTTATAGTTTTTTATTATTATAGACGACGGCATAACATCGATATTTATAAAAGAATTAAAGTTTAAAAAAAAAACGAAAAACAAAAAGCATTTCATAAATACCCAACATGAATTACATATTACATTAACCAAACTGAATAAATCAATAAATGTAAAGAATAAAACAATACAATACTCCATAACCTGATTAATCAATAAATGAATGAATGAATTGAAAAATCAATATTACAATTCATTAATAATCAATATTTATTTTTTTTTAAATTTTTTTTGTCTCCATATCACAATCAATAATGTTATTATTATATTGATTATTTAATAAGTTTGTACAATTATCACAGTTGTGCCGGTGTTGTATTATATATATATATTGTTATATTTAACAAGAGAAAAAGACAACCAAACAAACAAATAATGATGAATCATATCACTCAAAACTATACTACTTAAACTACTGATAATCATAATAACAGTAGTATAAAACAAAATTCAAGAAAAAAATAATGAAGACAAAAACTATTTTGTCTTTAGAAAAGAAAAAAAAAGAAAATGGTTTGAGTAAAAAATAGGAAAAAAACGGAAGAGAATTTTATTTAATAAAAACTACCCATGATCAAAAGTTTACCTAATGGAATACATATATACTACTTATCATTTTAAAAAAAATACAAATCAATGTATATATATGTGTATATATATTTATGAATGTATTCTTCAATCAGTCAATCAGTTATCTTCTTCAAATTCCCTAGAACTGATGAAAATATAAGTTATCCTTTACATTACAATAGTACAACAAATATATAGGAGTACATTCATGTAGTACAATGTAATACACACATATATAATTTACTATGTTACTACAACTTAACTAATCAATAAAGCGTAAAAAAATATAGTGCAAAATGAATTAAATGAGTGATGAATAAAATTTAACGGAGAGGGGGGTGTATATATAATCCTGTACTACTATTACTATGATTAGAAATAGACATAATACAAATATCATACATTATTTTTTTTTGACTATTTATAAATAATATAAAAATTAAAATAGACTGTCACGTTGGAAACAAAAAAAAAATATACTTCTTGTCTATTTATATAGATAGTTACTACGTTGTTTTTTTCTTTTCTAATATCTTTTTTTTCTTTTTTTTTTAGAAAAAAAGTGAAACGAAAAAAGTGTGCCATACATTAAACTGGTGCAATTAATGAAGGATTCATTGGAAATGTTTTACGTAAACCTAAACATTTTTCACGATCAATATAAATACTATTTGTTTTAATAGATAAATCCATTTCTAAACGACTTTTATTATTTAATAAATCTTGATGTATAATTTGTGTATTATTTAATTGTTGAATAAGTTGATCAATTGATTCTTGTAATTCTCCTATTTCACGTAATAATCTATATTTTAAGAAAAAAAGAAAAAGAGAGAGAAATAGTTAGTAACAAAACGAACAAAAGAAGATATCTATCTATCAATGGTTTAATGAAACTATGAATGAATGAATGAATGAGACTGCTATTACAGGTATGAAAGCGGTTATCGTTTCTTGGTTGCCCATACTATGTAAGATTCTTCTGGAGGTACCTGAAAAGAAAATTCGGTTAGGGGTGGTTTTAGTGATTTTAAAGTGTGACTGCAGTGCCCAAAGGACAACTACTTGAAGTCAGTCGAACACGGCCATTTTGTGAGTGATTTTCGTGTTAGCTCCGTACTTGTTGAGGCCTTATAGCAGGAGACAGATATCCGTGCAATAAGACAAGGTGTGTATTTTTAGGGTCGACTTTTTATAACCCCACCCTTTCTTAAGAGAAGGCAACATCGCTGTTATACTGGTTTTCTCAAATGAACACCTTACTGCAGTCACATCTATGTACAGCCAGCAGTACGACTTCGGACCTTGTGTTTGCTGCTTTCAGTCTTACCGTTCTTCAACCAACTTGTTTTGGACCTTGAGGAACGATTGTTTCACCTAGTATAGCTCGATTGCTTCATTACAATAGGCAAGCCCGACCACCACGTCAAGTTATCAGCAACAGTAGGTGGACAAAAATAATTAGTATTAGGATAAAATAGGAAATTGGAAATTTTTGGGATTATTATGTGACACATTATGATCTCTAGTTTTATCAAAGTAGCTATTAAGTGATTAAGTTATGGTACCTTCTGACTGCCCCATTTATAAGCTTTCATTTAATATATTCATTGTTGATATTACGTTTCACTGCTTCTAAATTATTTGTAATTAATTATTCGCCTATTATTTATGGGTTGTTTGTATACAACCTATAATTACTTATTTGTGGTGTAGTGATTAATGTAAGTAAGCTTTCTGATTGGCTATTATGGCATAGATAAATTATCCTCTGGACCATTAAAAGTAATGTTATTCGTTGTCAGTCTAGCCAAATCAACGTCTAAAGATAAGTTTAGGAGTCTAATAGACATGGAGAGTAAACACCATCAGTGGACTCTAAATTCAAGTTGTCTAATCATGCTTTCCTAAGAATAAACGGAGTTATTAATTTTCTCAAAAATTAAAGTTTCTAGACTGTGACTAGTAATCAAAACTATAACGAATTTTTTGTCCTATTTGAGGCTCGTCAGCTAGATGGACCTACATTTCAGTGTTGATACTCACTCTGAGTTTCAAATATAACTCTTATTGTTTAAAATGACAACTCTTTATTTACTAAACTACAGAGTCTATATAACTTATAACTTGTTCAAGGATCATTAAAATATTACCCAATCTCTCAACTTAAGAGAAATTTCGAAGTTTTTGGTTACATCTTCCTCAGGATTTCTAGTGAAATTTCGGTAAGAGTTCTTCGAAAGTTAGAGACTTTTTCTCAAAGTCCGGAGATTAGGCAGTAATTGTTTGTAATTTTCTGTTGTTGAAATTTAGAACTGTAAACAATTAGTCTATTTTTGTATATTTGAATTGTCTTAATATAGCCTTAATGGAAAGTTTTAATGTATACATAAAACCATCTCTGAGGATTCTATTTCTGGCATCGATATATACATATTACCTATATCGCAGAAATCCACTTAAGATAAGCGTAAACTAACAGAAACTGTTCAGTTACAGTCATAAATTTCACCAACGAGAAACTAGAAACTGCTACTAGATATTTCGAATACTTATCATGTAATTACTATCAGTGTTGGGTTTTGGAGTTTGTTATGTTTTTGATTGAGATCATGAATCGACAAATGTTAGATCACCATAGAAAAACTGAAAGCACTAGACGGCTGTTTCGTCCTATTGTTGGACTCCTCAGAAGCGCGCATCTACGATCCCCTCTCGCGAGATTCAAAGATAGGACCTATTAGTCTAGCGCGCGAACGCTTAACCTTTAGACCATTGAATCGGCATCCAATAGTGTTTTCTAAATTATTTCAGTACAAACAGTTTTATAGAATGAATTTTATGTTTACAGAATTACATATAAATGAAATTCTTTAATACATACATGAACAAGGATATAAGTAATCAGTAATGTACATGATATATACATCTATTAAATACAATTATTATACTATTCTTAAGTTAATTAGTAAACAGAAAAATGAGTATTGAAATAAGTAAATAAAATTAGTTAAGTAAACAATTAACATGGATATAAATTGGTTGAGATGTTTATTAATGAGATATAGGAATCAATAATAATTGTATTTGTACTATGGTGATTGAATTACCTACATATTCCTCTATATATGAAAGTTTTCTATTTATAACTTTAAGTTAAAGTTGAATTGGTTTATCATCCTTACTTAGTACTGTATTCTTAATCGAAGCATTGCTTACTCGGTTGGTTCAAAATATACGAGGGATATTTCGAAAATACCTACGATCAAATACTTGTAGTCTATCCTAATAAACTATGTTTCTCATTCGTAAATTTGAGTGGAGTAAACTGGTACACTGTAAACTCTTACTTTGGTTAACAGACGGATCATATACAACATTGAGCTATATTTTGTATTATTACCACTGATGAGTTTAACTAACTATTTAACTAAAGACCTTTTTGACAAACATTTGCTACTGTGTTTTTCGAAATGATTTATCAGGAAGTTTTTTATTCCTAGCGAAGTAGAAGAGTTAGTCAATCATCTACAACATTGAACCAAGCACATACATGCATTGGTCCAAGTTGACAGTAGTGTAATGAATTATTCAAAAATTGACGTTCTATTAAGAAACATGATCGTTAATAATAAATTTTATGATGTCATTGAACGTCCAGTCCTTATTCACCACTGTTTTTCTAATGAAAATTACATTCGTCGAGCTTAATGAGCGTTGTATGGAATTCTTGTCTTCAAATTAAAAGAAGCATTTTTCTTAGTGGACAGGAAATGCACATTGTTGATTCAGCTTTTTGTTTTAGTTGTGCGTATCCACGATCCCGCCTCGCGACATTCGAACTCAGGACCTACCAGTCATGGATGCGCACTGCTGAGGAGTCCCACAGTAGGACGAAACGACCGTCCAGTGCTTCTAGGTTTTCCATGGTTGTCCAGCTTCAATTGACTAATGATCTCAACTAATGTTTATTAACTGAAATGTTTAATTATAGCAAAGTTATGATCACTAAGCTGAATTGTTTAGTTATGAGTTTTTCATGGTCGTTTTAAACGATATCATAAACAGGTATTATAAAAAGAAGTGAACTAATAGAATTTCATTATAATTGTGAAGAAAAAAACATTCTTAAATTGTTGAGATTTGTAGCTTAGATGAATGATTTTGATGAAGTTTTGTTCAGAAGAACGATGAAAGCTCTACGATTAAACCATCCAGCTCAGAGAACAAAACTCCATCAAAAACATTCTTATTACCATTATTCTATATCAACTTTAAGTATCAGTTTTTTTCTGGTAGTTTAGCAAATCATTTATAAAAGAACATTAACTTCATATGTATTATTTACTAATTAATCTATATTCACTGAATTACAAAATTTATCAAGGATATTTAATACTTTTTATATAGTTGAGATCATGAGTTAATTGAAGCTAGACAATCATGGAAAACCTGAAAGCACTGGACTGCCTTTTTGTTCTATTGCTGGACTCCTCAACAGTGCGCATTCACGATCCCGCCTCACGAGATTCGAACCTATGATCTATCAATCTCACCTAAGTGCACTTAACCGATATATGATATTTCTACAAAAGTAAATCATAGAAGGAGTTCATGTACAACTAATATAACTAATCTACTCTTAATAAATTTACATTAATCGAATAGAAATAACTTAATAGAAATAATATAATTATACCACATACAGCACGTACCTCATCTAACCGTGAAGATTACATTTTTAAAGGTATACATAAACAGAGCATATATATATATATATATATACTTATGTATACATGTCTATACATATACTCACTAAACAAACATAACAAACAGACAAACAAACAAACATTTATGTACACACATACACGCACCCCATACACATATCCATACACGCACACAAACAAACAAATTGTACCATTGAATTAAAACTTCTTCATATTTAGTTAACTATCAAAGAATAGAGAATTTATTTATTTATTTATTCTTTTATAGAAGCATGTCAAATATAAAATAAATCGATTACATTTCTTATTCTAATAAACAATTGTTTTGTTTGTTTGTTTTTCTTTTGCTTGTTTTTGTTTTATTATTTCTCAAATTAATTGTTTCTATGTTTTATATATAAAGTAATATTGTTATGACTACTATTGTTATTATGAATAGTAGTACTAGTAGTACTTGTAGTATTAATAGTAGTAGTACTTGTAGTAGTAGTAGTAGCAGTAATTTAACTGCTGGTCAGTGTATATGTAGGTGTGTCTTTTTGAATAAATTATGAAATGAATGAACAAACAATGATGATCAAAGTCAGTACCACCACCACCATCATCATCATCATCGTCATCATCTTCATATCGATCTATTATTATTATTATTATTATTATTATTATTATTATTATTACTATTATTAGTCTATAACCTATTATCTATTTATATAAATGATTATGATAATGGTCTAGAGTATTTTAGATAATAATTTTCTAATGAATATGAGAATGATAAAGACAAGCTGAGTATGATATTTCATGTTCATTATACTGTAGAGATAATTGTTTATATTTCAAGTCTTACTCTTCGTCATATACATTCTTTCCTTGTCAGTTTTTTTTAGTATAATAGTATTTCGGAACTAGTTATTATTATCTGCTTAGTTGTGTTTATTCTACTTTTTAGTATTTTGATATTGCTCCCTTATAATTGTGATTATTACTGGAGGGGTATGGGGATAGTGGAGCTGTTGAAAGCGATGATGTTGATTGTGGCGGTAAGGTTTCACTTCTATCACCACTAATAATTTACTTT